CTTCCTTCCTTCCTTCCTTCCACCTCTTGCCCTTTCCAGAATGCCCAGGCGCCCAGGTCTACAGCAGCTGTGCCAATGCCTGCCCACAAACCTGCACCGACCTGCAACCCCAGAGCCAGTGCCTGCAGGAGGACTGCCAGCCGGGCTGCGCCTGCCCCTCTGGCCAGGTGCTGCAGGACGGGGCATGCATTTCCCCGGAAGAATGCCGCTGCAGGCTCAGCCCAGCACCAGCCACACCCTGGGCGGCCAACATGTCCGAAGAGGAGCAGGCGCAGGAGTACCCGCCGGGCGCGTCCATTCCGCACGAGTGCAACAGCTGGTGAGCCGGAAGAAGGGTTGAAAGGCCAGCCACAGCCATGCCACGTGGAGCGGGTGGGGTGGGGGACCACGAGGCAGAGGTGGGGAGTGTGGCTGGATCAGTTCAGCCGGTGAGAAGGGATGATGGGCCTTCTAGTCACACCACCCTGGGAGGGGTGCGCGTTCCCACCTACCGTGGTCTGTCGCTCAGAACCTGGGTGCCTTCAAGGAAGACGTGCCCTCCCTTCCCTTGGTCCCCGAGGAGCTCTGGGCCCGGACACCTGGGTTCCCTCCAGGAGGAGCAGGAGGAGGAGGCGTCTTCACACAGGACAGATAGGGGGCCGGTCCCTTCCCCCCACCCGCCCCCCATCCCCTGGACGGTGGGGTGATGGCCTCCTTTGGTGGGTGGGCCGAACTGTCATTCATTGATGCGGTTCATTTATACCTGGCCCTCGGGGAAGTGACTTCTGGACCTCCTGGGATATCCTGGGCAGCTGGGAGCCCTGCAAGGAAGGTCCTGGTCTCTGACTAGATCCCACCATTGGGCCCAGGATCTGGTGGGGAGGGGCGCCTGTGCTTAGATCCCTCCCCCACACTGTCCTTACGACCACCCTGTGAGGGAGGTCATGCTGAGAGGAGGTGGGTGGCCCAAAGTCAGGCCATGAGCTCCTTCCTTGAGTGGGGGAGGGGCAGTGCACGGTGAGCCCCCTGTTTTAACCACTCCTCCTCCTCCTGGCTCTTTTTTGGGGGGCTGCCGGCACTCTCATCCCTGCAGCATCTGCCAGAGAGGAGCCTTCGTCTGCACCCAGGAGGACTGTGATGGTAAGAGCTGCTGCCTTCTGCCGCCCCCCCGACCCCTCCTCTCCTCGGTCTCAGTCTTCTCTCCTTGATCCCCAGTGTGTGTCTCCCCCGCGCACTTTTCCATGCACGCCTCCAGGCCCCATCGTCCTTGGCCATTCCCAGCCACCCAGAGTGCAAGGGTCCCAGGAAAAGCCATGACTCTCACCGGTCCCCACAACCAGGCAAGCTGCAGTGGGGAGAGGCCAGGCGCAGAACCACCGTCGGTGGTGCGCTCTGGGGCGGGGCCTCTCCTGCTGCCCCGTCCCTCCCTCCCTCCCCTAATCTGGGGCTCACAGGGCAGCAGAGACGGTGGCCCATGCCAGACTCAAGCGTGGGCTCCTCTCGGGGGCCGAGGCCAGACCCAAGATGTATGGGTGAGCTAAACATCTTGCCTCTGAGCATGGGCGGTGTGCATCTCTGAGTCACCGTGTGGAGATGTTTCCAGTGTCACCCAGGAGCCAGGCTGGCTGTGAACGCTGGGGGTTGTAGTACAGGAAGTGGTGTCCACCCCACCCACATTGATTCTCGGCCATGAACCCCTCCTTCCTGCCTTCCCTTCTTTTCACATCAGAGGTACCTCCGTCCCCCTCCCGTCGTCTAAGGAGCAGGTCACAAGGACAGGCCCCCCCGGGGCTGCCCCTACTGCTGGGGCAGACAGGCCGGCTGCAGGTCTTCCCTAACCTTGGGCGCCACATCTCCAGCGGCCTCCGTGCGCCCACCTCCTCAGCCATGTGTTCCTCCCACCCCCACCCCTCCGCAGTGCCCTGCATTTGGTCAGCGTGGTCCCCCTGGTCGCCCTGCTCTGTCACGTGCGGCACCGGAGAGCAGCTGTCCCGGCGCCATCAGCTCCAGCTGCGCCTCTACGGAGGGACCGAGTGCGAGGGACCCGCCATGCGCTGGACTTCCTGTTCCCTCCCAGACTGTGGTGAGTCCGAGGAACCTTCCCTGTCCCGCACAGAGACGTCAAACACCACCCTTTAAAGCCATCTTTCCCGGGTTTCCTTCTAAGGTTTGGAACTCTAAAGTGACTCGTCAGATTGCCCTTCATTTTTGTGGAATTACTTTCTGTTTCTCGCTTCCCATGGAGGGGAAATCCCAACAGACTGATAAGAGGATGAAGCCACGTGGCTGCTCCAAAGGCCTCTCTAATGCCCTTTAAAAGAACTTTTAGAAGTCACTAGATAGTAATGTCCATCAGACTCATAAGGCGATTCTGTTCCTGCTCATTGACTTTATTTGGAGCATGTGGCTCAGTGGCGCCGTCTCTGCCCCTCCAGGTCAAAATGTAAGGCTAAACACTGCAGGAAGCCACATCAATCTGTGGTCCTGCAGCAAGAAAAGTTCTCTCCCTGCTGACCTCATGCGTCCTCAGTCAGGGAAGCAGGGAGGTCACGGGAGGGGAAAGGAGCCACCTGGCAGGTCTGGGCACGTGGTGGGGGTGGAGATCCCGGGGTGGGACTGGCCTGAGCGATTCCCTCTTGTGACTCTTCCATTCAGTCTCATTTTCTCTCCCTCCCCAACCCTGGCTCCCCTCCCCCCTTGGCACACAGCCTGCCCTGACGGTGAATCCTGGGTCAGGGGGGGCTCCATGGCCCCCTGCGAGCGCAGCTGCCACCAGATCTATGAGGATCCCCCCCAGAACTGCAGCAAGGGAGGCGCCCAAGGGTGCCTGTGCCAGCCAGGGCGCTACCGGAATGGGAGCGGTCGCTGTGTGGTGGCCGCTCACTGCGAGTGCGAGCATGGAGGCCAGACCTATCCGGTGAGTGCGAGGGTCCGGCGCTGGGCTTGTCAGGCTGTCTCAGGAAGGGGGGAGCCGGCGGGTTGCAAGCCAGCCTTCTGCCCACCTTCAGGCCGTCCAGGTGTGTCGGACTACAGCGGCCAGTAGTATTCCCCAGCCAGCTCCGGGGAAGGAATCCCCGGCCGAGGGTGTTCAAGGGAGGAATTCATGGCCTGAACAGGCTGGCAGCTGCTGGTCCTGCATGGGGCACCTTCACGGGGGGGGGGGCAGAAGGGACCTCAGTGCACCCATGGGCCTTGGTGCATCCCATGGGGCTCTGCCCTCAGCCCTCCTGCCCATCCCTTCCCAGAGGCTTAAGGAGGAGGGTTGCCCACCCTGTCTGGTGTTGTGGGAGAATTGGGTCGCGCTTTTTCCGTCTTGCAGCCCGACTGACACTTTTCTTTTCCTGCAGGCTGGGTCCCACTGGCAAGACGGGTGCGAATCATGCCATTGCTTGAACGGGAGGGCTGTGTGCGAGGCAGACTGCCCACCACTCACCTGTCTTGAGGTACTGCTCCAAAACACACACACACACATCTGGCTTGCACACTCAGCTGTAAAATGAGGAGAGAAAGCAATCAAAACTGGGTGGAAGCAGCCAGGGGTCGGGAGTCCGATTGCCCCCCCCTTGACAGAAGCTGGATTCGAGTGATCCATAGGGCCCCTTCAGCTCTGCACTTCTAAGATGGTGATGATGAAGCCCCAATTTCCAGGGCCCTGCCTTTAACACGGAGGTGGGCAGCTTTAACTAAGGGACATTTTTCAGATCAGGTAGCAGCCAGCCTGGTTTCTCTTCAGATCGTATAAATCTTTCGCCTTTTACAATAATTTGATTTTTCAGATCAGGTAGCAGCCAGCCTGGCTCCTGGGTGACACTGGGGGGCCCACGCCAAAGCACACATCGTCAAAGTGACTACAATAATTCACTTTTTGAAGTATTTAAGTATCACTAAATAATGGCATCATTAAATTTGTAAATAAAATAAAAATCAACAATCTACCCCCTCCCCGAAAACAGACACATGTCTTTAATAAGGACATTATATATGCAAGATACGCATTTTCAAAGGGCTAGTTTTAACTCATATTTCACTTTTTCTCTGAAAACCCTTCATTCCTCTGGGGTAATTTATTTAATAAAACTGATTGCATGTATTATTAAATTATTATTAATTACTGATTTAAACATTGATTGATATTCCGACTTATTTCTCTGCCAGTCTAACATAAGAGGTTTGGGGCTGGCTGGGAGAAGTGCACTTTGTGCATGTTCAGAGGAACCGATTTCTCCCCAGACTGCAGAGCAGCTGCTTGTCTTTGGGGGGAGGGGTCCTTCCTGCCAGACTGAGCCCGATTTCTGCTCTCCCTCTCCAGGACGAAGCGAAGGTACAGGAGCCTCCCAGTTGCTGCCCTGTGTGCCGGAAAGAGCTGCCTGGTATGTGGGGGGACGAGAGGCTTCCCTTTCCCTCTCCCTCTCCCTCACCCTCGGCGATCAACCTAAAACAGATTCTGGGGAGGGGCGGGGAGAGGCCCACTGCCCACTCGAGGCTGCAACACATCTTCACACGGCCTGGCAGCAGGGCGCCCCGTGCAGCA